ACGAAACATCGGCGAGCGCCGACCGCCCTTCAAAACTAATGGAATCAAAAAGAAAAAGAAGGAACGCTTCTCATATCATCTATTTGAGCCTCAGGCTGAGAAAAAGGTGCTCTGATTGGCCTCACGTGCACAACTGAGAAAAGGGCTCTTGAAAGCAGGGTACAGATTTTCGCGCTGTAAAGTTGCCTTCACATCTGAAAAAATCTATCTTGTCAAAACTCAAAAGCTCGGTTCGAAACCAGAACCCCTGTGAAATGGACAATACGCCGGTACTGTATAAGTTCAAATTTTCGTTATATCACTCCACCAGCCCGGCTTGTTACGTACTAATTTCGTTTTTGGCCGAGGTCTGCCACCCCGAACGGTCAGAAAAAAAGCTTTAGTTTGGTACAAACTTTAGTTATTTGGTGCCCGTGATTTACAAACGAAAATGTTTACCTATACGGTAGTGTGACGATCTACCTCGATCCAAACTTCGGTTCATGCACTTACATAGTAGCTTATTAATGCTGGCAGCTTGGCATTGCTGAGGCAGGGTAGTCATGGCAACCAAGCTAAACACCAGCATTGCGGACAGCTGCTGCTGCCGTGGCAAGCAGTATTTCCCGGGAGTCATGATTGACTGGCACACAGAGAGAGAGAGAGAGAGAGAGAACACACCAGAAAATCACATCAAGACAGAAAGCTTAGGAGAAAAGGCTTCAGAGCAGACCCGCTCTTTTCCCATTCACTCTGCAAACTCGAACTCGTTTCTCAATCAATCTTTACAACGCTTTGGCAAATGGCCCTCATCAAGACAGAAAGCATCGTATTAATTTGATGCTGTACAACTCAGACGATAGCAGCATTTGTGCAACAACAATGTTGCGCAACGAGAATATCCGAAGGGTGGCGTGCGCTGTTACTTGAACGCATTCCGTGTGACATCCAGCTAAAATAGATTTGAAATAATGATTGAAACACTCCGCCGCTCCACACTGCACTCTTGGCCCACATTCACTGCATCATACTCAATAGTGAGGAAACCGCATCATACTCAATAGTGAGGAAACTTTGTTCTTGGGTGGATGTTGAATATCTAGAGCCTAGAAAGCTGTTTAGCTCCGTGGGTATAGATAACTGTGTATCATTTGTTCATGCCGATAAGACCACATGCCACACACACACACACACACACACACACACACACACACACACACACACACACACACACACACACACACACACACACACACACACACACACACACACACACACACACACCACGCATACACACACACTTGTACTTGTACTTGCTCACTGCCAAAACTGGTCACGTGGGTCTCCCCGGGAGAGGGGAGAGAGACTCAAAAGGAATCTTGGAAAGATGACTCAATTGGCCATTGAACCACCCAACGGCCGACACCCCCTGAAATCCCCAAACTAGGGTGGACTTGAAATGATCCCACTTATGGGCTCACCACACCTCAGTGAGTGGGTGAGGACAAGGTGCAGAAATAGGATTGACGGCATCAGGGTATCCGTCAAGTTTTCGTACAACAAGTTTTCGTACAACACTCATCAGGAATCGTCGTTGTACTAAAGGACACTGAAACAAAAATTGAACTATTATAGAAACTCTAAGTTAGAGAAATAACACTAAGAGCAACAGCAGTGAAATTTACAAGTGTGAATTTTAACAATCAAAGCGAGAAATGAACAAAGGAGAAAGGAAGGAAAGACAACGTGATAACACATAACAGCAGTACATTACACCTAGAACATTAACGGCCGAGCTTGGCCGCACTAAACACGACACGTTACTTGAACAACTTCAACCCAATTATACTATCTTTCTGTACACACAAATTAGGCTTATACAGACGCTGATAGATAGCTTCCAACACTTTTAACTGTAGTCCATAACCATGACAACCACGGCACAATACAGTGAACGAAGAGTCGGAATACGAATTGCAACAATCAGGACTAGCTAGCAGATGATTGTACACTGAAGACTTGCTACCACGAAACCTACGCACAACACTAACACTCTCACCAGCACTCTCACCATCACTCCCATCACTGCTCTCCGACTAACTGCTCCCTCCGCCGTCCGTTCCATCCTCCGCTTCCTCTGTACTCTCTCTGTCTGACGACGATTCCTGATGAGTGTTGTACGAAAACTTGTTTGAATCCATATTTTTCCCTACACCATTTCTTCATATTTTCATCGTTTTATTGCACATCGTCTCCACCGTTTTTACATTGCATGAATAAAGTACACAAATGTCGGTTCAGCTAGTTTTATTGATTGCGGTTATCAAATTATTGTCTCCTCGCCGTGTGTTCAATTATTATTATTATTATTATGATCTTTATTTGAGGGATGACCCAAAGGCGGGTAGCCTATCCAGTGGTTCTCCACTTGTGCGATATTGAATAGGTAGCAGAATGGGGGGGGGGGGGGGGGGGGTGAAGTATTGGCCCGCCATCCTGGTGTGCTGTACATCGGCACATCATGTTGGTGTGCTGTACATTGGCACGTCATGCCTTGAAGCACCACATGGAGATGCCACTTCCACTCAGCACATAGCTATGGCTATGGGTGTAGGGTTATGTGTGTATGATTGGGGTCGCTTGACCTGTGCATACAGTTGCGTGTGTGTGTGTGTGTGTGTGTGTGTGTGTGTGTGTGTGCGTGTGTGTGTGTATGTAAATCGGCTGCAGGTCTCAAGCGTCACCGTTGTGGAACCTGTCCAAAGCGCCCCACTATGGCTGAACGCCAGCATTTCAAGTTTCACTGCCAAGTTTGCCACAACCGACGGTTCGGGAGGCGGCAAGATCTGGATCGCCACTTGGAGCATTGCGTGGCCATTTCTGGCAGCTGTCAATAGTAGTAGTAGTAGTGTGTATGTGTGTATGTGTGTGTGTGTGTGTGTGTGTGTGTGTGTGTGTGTGTGTGTGTGTGTGTGTGTGTGTGTGTGTGTGTGTGGTGTGTGTGTGTGCATGTGTATGTGTGTGTGTGTATAATTATATGTGTGTGTGTGTGTGTGTGTGTGTGTGTGTGTGTGTATAATTATATGTGTGTGTGTGTGTGTGTGTGTGTGTATGTGTATGTGTGTGTGTGTGTATGTGTGTGTGTATGTGTGTGTGTGTGTGTGTGTGTGTGTGTGTGTGTGTGTGTGTGTGTGTGTGTGTGTGTGTGTGTGTGTGTGTGTGTGTGTGTGACTGTGCTTGAAGGGGATGGTTGCACTTTTTGTAGCTCCGGTTTATCTGAGTTTTCAGTCGTTCCTCTTACTAGTCTTAGGCCACGGGGTGGCTCTGGGTCCACCAGAGTTGCCCCTGGCGTGTTTCTGAATTTGCTGGGGCGAGGGTTCCGCGACGCGGTCGCCAGGGCAGTGTATTTTCTGTCACGACCGTGGTCATCCTCGTCTCTCCATTCGCGGTGGTGTACCTGACCCCCGAATGGTTTCAAACTGCGAAGCTCGGAGTACAGTGGTGGCAGAGGCATGAGCTATGAGTGGAGACGGTTGCTGGAGATGGATGGTGATGAAGGGAGAAGAGTTACGCTGCCTGACGACGCGCGGGAAATTGTTTGATCCTGCAATTTCAGTTCGAGCGTGATGGACTTCTAGACGATGTGTCCTCATGGCTGTTTTTCAACGCTTGACCTATCGCTGATATCCCTGCGTGGAATGTTCTTCCAGTGGAATCCAGGTGGGACTTCGGGTGCCCACTCTCCATCACCTGGTTGATTTTTTTCGGAACTGCAATAATACAGGTTCAAATAATTATTGTTTCCTTTTTGTGCGTATCTCTTGTCATCTTTCTTTTCTATACGTCGCACACCAGATGTACTACTATCACTGTCTTTCTCCTGCTATCTCTCTCTGCTTGCTGTTTTTGTTTTTGTTGCCACTGCCCCTCATCATACCCATGCTTGGGTGGAGGGCGGCGTGACCCGTTAGGGTAGCTGTCAATACAGTACAGTGTGTGTGTGTGTGTGTGTGTGTGTGTGTGTGTGTGTATGTGTGTGTGTATGTGTGTGTGTGTGTGTGTGTGTATGTGTGTGTGTGTGTGTGTGTGTGTGTGTGTGTGTGTGTGTGTGTGTGTGTGTGTGTGTGTGTGTGTGTGTGTGTGTGTGTGTGTGTGTGTGTGTGTGTGTGTGTGTGTGTGTGTGTGTGTGTGTGGGCTGGACGGAAGTGTGCATATAGGTATAATTATTATAGCTCGGTCCTGGAGAACTGTGTTTGTAGCTGTGCGTGCGTGCATGTTTGACGTGGATTGGCCCATGTGTGTAGTGTGGCGTGCTTGGCTGTGGAGAACAGCAGGGTGTATAGCTGTGGAGAACAGCAGGGTGTATAGCTGTGTGTGTGTGTGTGTTGGTGGTGGTGGTGGGTCCAACTGTGTGTGGAGTTGTATGTGTGTGGGTGTATCAAATTCAGAGCACAACTGTTTACTTCATTAGTATAACACCTGCTCTTTTGCCCCCCCCCCCCTGCACTGCGGAGGTATAAACTAACTACAATGGCTGACTTCTAGATTTGACGTTTAACTCCAGCAAAAGCAGTCCCTTTCACACAAGGTTCGACTGCAATGCACCACATAGGGCAAACGAAAAGTGTGAAAAAGCAGGGCAAGCCCGAAATTTCGGTGGATGACAAGCCTGCTACTCTGAATGAAAAAGCCAAGAGAAAAACCCGCATGGGGAGGTTGAGAAAATGTAAATTTAATGCAATAACTCTACAAAGAGTAGCCTAGAACAGAGAGAAAGGAATAACAATCATGCCGACTGTAGGACAGTCTGCGACTAAAGTAATGGCGTCTACACTCGCGGATTTCCCTTACCTCTGTCCGGCAAGACGAAGGTTTACAGCGGCACAGGATTGACGGCGGTATCCAATGATGACTAAATCTTCTTAACTTAAAGCCCAAGTGCAAGTGGCAAGCGAAACTCAGCCGGTAACAGCTCGGCAAGCAGCAACTGTGATGAATCACGCAATATGCGATTCTGGATTTAGTTCCATTTTCCCCGGATCTCGATCGTGGTGCTACCCTTAGCATTCAGCAAAAAACTCGGCATGATCAAGAAACGACGTCTACCAGCTCTGAGGTGGCGTGCGTTAGTACCATTGGAGGCGGAAGCAGCACCCGCTGGAGTACGACCGTCTGTTAACTGCCCCTCGACCAGCCGTCCCGGATCCATTCTCGTTGCACCATTAGCCAACGGTGCCAAATATGTTCTCCTCGAGGAACCCTCGCACTAACCACCATCCAAAAACTCTTCATCTCGTACCGGTGCCCCCCCCCCCCCCCCGCATCAGTGACACCCGTACACGATCTCTCCCTAAATATAATAATCTTTATTTCAGGATTACCCAAAGGGGGCCGGGGCTCTGGCTATCATCGATGCATCATCATCATTGACGTAACGTCGTTGTTATCATCGTCACCTTTTTCTTTATTTAATAATTACTATTACTATTAATTTTAATATTATAATACGAACTTAGAAGTTGCGACTTCCGCGGTAGTTGGAACCTTACTTTATTAATTTTGATAGGGCAATCCCCACAGGCCTAAGGCCTTTTGAGAGGGTACCCTAAGAAATGAAGAACAGAATTACGGAAGGTATGCAGCATTGCAGGGAAGAATTTGAGCGGACCTCGGCTGGGAGGGCATTCCTCTTCTTCACGTCCCGATGGCGATCGTCCGTGGCAAATAGGTGCTGGGTGTGTTTATTTGAATTCGCAAACCGAACGGACTGAACATGTCCAATGACAAGGAAGCGAATGAGGTCCAAGTGACCCAGGAATGGGAAAACTTGGAAAGGAGACACAGATGAAAAATTAATATAATGGGAAAAGAAAGCTCTCAGCAAAAGACTCCTTTTTTGGTGTGGTAGTAGGTGGAAGCAAATTTTGTTGCTCCGCCAATCGGCTCCTTACTTTTGTTTTGTTTGTCGAGCACTGACCAAGGAAGCACAGCTATGGCTGACTCAACCCTAGACCTAGCCCTGATCGAGTTCAATGTGTTGCAGCAGGTAGCCAAGGACGCCCGAATTCCAGGATGGGACGACCTATCCAGGGCGGACCTCGTGTTCGCTCTCCGTAAGCAGGGCCAGGGAGCCAGCGCACCAGCCAGAGGAGCGCCATCTGAAACCGGTATGGTACCAATTGTATCAGAACTGTTAGACGTAGTCCGAGCACTTTCAATTGAGATTTCACAACTACGAAATGTGATTGAAACAAGTAAGTCTTCGCAAGAAAACTTCGAAGCCCAATTGTCACGATTGCGGGAAGAGATGGGGGAGCTCAAAAGTCAGCAAGTGCGAGCCCCGGGAGTGCCACTAACCACTCGGTACCAACCGAATACGTACGCTGCCACCCTTTCACGTGCATCTACTACAGAGCCCAATGTACAAGTAGGTCCAAATATGTACACTTCTACCATTCCTGGCGCATCCTCTACAGAGCCCATTGTACAAGTAGGTTCCCAGTACGCACCTCCCGCACCCAAACATGGCACGCGAATGACCAGCTCTGGCACTCCTTGTGACACTGACCGTAATGGTTGGCAGTATCCTCCACACCGACTCATGGCTCGTGCTCCCGCACTGCAGCGTTCTATTACATCACAGTACAAAAAGCCGATGTCCAGTAAGCGAGGCAGTCTCCAGGGGGCAGAAAGGATCAAGCGGAAGTGCTTCTACCTCGGAAATGTCGATCCTGGGTGTGAGGCTGACTCTATCAGGGAGTGGTGCAAAAAGAAAGCAGTTGACGTCCTCAGTTGCTCAATTTCGGAGTCCAAGTACTTTGGTACTGCTTATGCTCACCTTGTTGTTCCGGCTGAGCATACTGACCAGGTTCTCGAAGAAGATTTCTGGCCAAGCAAAGTTTCAATCAGGGAATGGAGATTTGCATCTGACAGCACAACCTTGGATCAGTCTGCTAGTAACTAAACCATGCAATTGGACCCACACCCACCTTCCTCACTGAACCCACACGCACACCCATTCTTTCCTACCAGACACTCCCTTCCCACTCACCAGCATTCTACACCACCCCAGCTCACACTCCTATCAACAAACTGTCGTTCTGTAGTGAATAAGTGTACAGAGCTTACTATTGTTGCTGAAGAGTGGCAGCCTGACATAATCTGCCTAACTGAAACCTGGCTCGACCCGAATATTGCACTTAATATTACGCGTTATGACACCTTCCGGAGGGACAGGCCCCCTGCAGAGAATAAGTCCGGGACAAGTGCAAGAGGTTATGGTGGTGTCGCTATCCTTGTTCGACAGAATAAGTTTAAGTCTGTTGCCATGCGTCCCGATCTAGCTCGCGATGGGTGCGAAGCCGTTTGGGTTCAACTCCAGCCGTATCCGGCTGCAGCTGAGCCGATCCTCCTCTGCTGCAGTTATCGTCCACCTTCTGCTAAGCCACCAGATATAGCAAGGTACTGCCAGACTCTCGAAGACGTACTCATTACTCTTCCTCTTTCATCTTCTCACGTTATCTTGACAGGTGATTTTAACAGCAAGCACACGTCATGGTGTTCGACAGATTCCACCAATACTGCCGGTGCTGAATTGTATCGCACGCTCAGTCCATTTGGTCTTCACCAACTCGTCAACACATGTACATACACGTCACCCTCTGGTGTCCAAGCCTGCTTGGATTTGGTGTTTAGTAACCGTGCCAATCTCTCGTCTTGCGTCGAAACTGACTGCCCTCTGGGCGCCTCAGACCATGCCATTGTGTACTGCCAGTTCGACATCCCCCTGCCTCAGTCTCCCCGCGAAATAACGTCTCAAGCTCAGGAGCTTAACCCTATGTCTTTCGATCTCCGACACGTCACACCTGCTGTGTGGGAGGCGGTCAATGCAGACTTAGACTCAGTACCTTGGAACTCATTAATATCCTCAGACGTGGACAGTGCACTTAGTAACCTGCACAGTGTCCTGCAGACTGTGCTGTCCAAGTATGTTCCCCTTCATAGCTCCCGCAAACCAAATCGAGCTCCCTCAACCCCAGGGTCTACACGCAAATATCATCCATGGGTTTCCACTGAACTACGCAAGGCTATCAAGTTGAAGCGTGACCTATTCAGCCTCTCCAAGAAATTCCCTACGGACTACAATCTATCAGCATATAAGGCACAGCGGAACCAGGTGAGACATCTCTCCCGCTGGTGCCACCGCCAGTACATTCGTTCAATCAAAACAACACTTACCTCAGGCAGCACTACGCTTCACCAGTTTGTCCGCAGTCAGCGATCGCACAAAGTAAAACCTGGCATCCCTGACATTGCAAGCCCTGATGGGCTGCTGGTGTCCGACAGCTTCCAAAAAGCAACCATCCTCAACAAGCAGTTTACCTCTGTCGCGGTGCCTGATGACCCACTTTTAGTAATATCCCCTCTCCAATTATGACACTCGTCTTACTCGCCAATTCACCCGCGTTCATATCACTACAGCAGATGTTCGTAAAGCCATCTCAAACCTGAAAGCTGGGAAAGCGCCAGGGCTAGACGGTATCACGAACAATATGATAAAGAAGCTATCTCCTGCGATTTCTTTTCCACTTAGCCGCCTATTTAACCTCTCCTTTACCACAGGCAAGTTCCCTACTGACTGGAAACTGGCTAAAATTGTGCCTATTTACAAGTGCAAAGGCAGCAAATCTCAAGCTAGTAACTATCGCCCAATTTCCCTCCTGTCCTGTATTTCCAAACTTTGCGAACGGCTCTTCTTCAATCAATTATATAATCATGTTTCTCCTGCTCTGGATCCCGCGCAATCTGGGTTTCGTCGTGGTGACTCGACCGCTCTACAGCTCACCAAGCTGATCCAAAACATTGCCGACCATCGTCATATGGGGCGGAAAGTTGCCATGTGCTTTTTCGACCTCGAGAAAGCTTTCGACACCGTGTGGCACCGTGCATTACTTGCTAAACTTTCCAAAGTTTTCGGTGTGTGTGACTCAGCGCTGGAGTGGATTACAGACTACCTATCCGACAGAACGCAAGTTGTCTTTGTAGGTGGACTTCTCTCAGATGCTTCACCTGTTCTGTCCGGAGTGCCCCAGGGATCCATCCTAGGGCCCCTCCTTTTCCTAGTGTATATAAATGATCTTCCCAGTCATGTTGAAGGTGTGTCCTTATTTGCTGACGATACTGCACTGCTCCGGTTCAATGAGTGTCTAGACAGGCTGCGAGACAGTCTCCAGCGCGGTATCAACGAAGTCCATCAGTGGATGACTACCTGGAGACTAAGACCTAATATCGCCAAGACTGAGATATTATTCCTGCCGAACTCAGAGCCAACCTATGCGTTCACTCTTCCCGGATCCCTCACAGACCTCACAGTGGTAAAGGAACACAAACATCTTGGTTTGGTCATTGACTCAGACTTATCGTTTAGTAGACATGTCGACTATATCTGTAGCAAAGTCAGTAAAGCTGTTGGCTACCTCGTGTCTCACTGCTCCCACCTACCGCTTGAATGCATTCGCCTTTTTTATCATTGCTATATTCTCCCCATTTTTCTCTCTTGCTCAACCGCCTGGTCATCCCTACTAAGTAAATCGTTAATGAGTACCCTGGAAGTCCACAATAAGAGGATACTCAAAGTCCTTTTCCGCAAACCATCATACTTTCCCTCTGCCGAGCTGTATGATATGTTTAACACCTTCCCTATCTCTAGTCAAGCGGATCGAAAACTGTGTATTGTTGTTCATTCTATTCGTCTTGACAAAGCCCCGCCACACTTGCGTAAATATAACTGGTTTCTTCCCACTCGTCCTACGCGCAATCCCTGCACTTTACCTAAAGCCCGAACCTCAGCTTATACCAGATCTCCGTGTTTTGCTGCCTATTCTCTCTGGCTGGCCCTGCCTCTATCAGTAAAATCGTCTTGTACGCTAAAGGATTTCAAGGCCAACATGAAGCTCGTGTTCTAATAACTGCTAGTTCTTCATCCACATTTGTTTCTCTTTGCCTCCAGTAATGTGTAATA